ATGTCGGTGGAGTAATGGAATATAAAATGCAAGTTTCTAGAGCTGGCGCATTGGAGGTCCATAAGCAAGTTAGATTTCTGCAGCTAACCAAAATCCACACCAGAGGAAAAACCTTACAGAAATAGCTGAACTGCTGTATCAGATGACCACAGCGAGACTACATTTGATATAGCATGGAAAGCAGAAACACTTGTACACATCAGTCAAGAGTAGAACGTGACAGGAAGAAAGCAGAGTGGATAAAGCTCAAAGAAAGTAAAGAGTTTAAGCTAGCCAGAAAAAAAAAAAAGGGGAAAAAGAAAAAAAAAAAGAAAAAAGAAAAAAAGAAAAAAGAAAGAAATAAAACCTCTGTGAAATCCATCTACTCTTCTGATGCAGTTACAATTTTCAATGGGCAGGAACCATTTTTTTCCAGTCATTGAGTTTGGACAAGAATATGGAGGGAAAAAAAGTTTAGTGCAGACTCAGCGGAAAAGGTACTGTGCCGGCTGGCTTGAGTGATAACAGGGTTTTTTTTCCATGAAGTACAACTGAAGGAAGAGCTGTCTGGCTGATAGCTCCCTCTTTTCTTCACGGCGAAAGTTAAAGAAATCTGTTTGCATGCATTTGAGTAGCTCTGACCTGATTTGCAGTTTATAGGAGAAATGTTTACCAAAAAAAAAAAAAAAATCATTCCTCTCCTTTTCAGTATTAATATAAAAATACAGGGTGTCATTATGGTAAATTGTTAACCAGCAACAGCATGACCATTTGGCACAGAGTACCAAATGGCATAGAGGCCTTCCTGCATGTCCCTTGGACCTTCAGCTTCCAAGTAACCCGAGTCTTAAGAAATTTAAAGGAAAGCATCAATTTTCATGGATCACGACAAGACCAAGGAAAATAAAAAATCCCCTTATGAAATGAATTATTTCACATTAATACTCCTTGTATTTGCTTCTGTTCACTTAGAATGAGGAGAGCCTTACCAAACCAACAAGATTTTTTTTTTTTTTTTCAGTTCCAAATGAAGCAAATTTGCCTAGAAAGATTTCAGTCAGCTCTGCTGATGGCTACTGGTCGTTGCATAAGAGCATCCCTCCCTTGGAGGGCGATGTGGCTCCCCTCGCTGATCTCTTGCGTAGCACTTGTATTTGCTTCTGTTCACTTAGAATGAGGAGAGCCTTACCAAACCAACAAGATTTTTTTTTTTTTTTTCAGTTCCAAATGAAGCAAATTTGCCTAGAAAGATTTCAGTCAGCTCTGCTGATGGCTACTGGTCGTTGCATAAGAGCATCCCTCCCTTGGAGGGCGATGTGGCTCCCCTCGCTGATCTCTTGCGTAGCAAACAGCTGCACGCAGGCAGCAGGTTGAACGCGTCTCTGGAATTAGACTGGTAACTTGCACGCCCTCTTATTATTGTTCAATGAGGAGCAAATATAACGGCTTTGCAGCCCACCGTCTTAAATGGAATTCAACGATGTGTCATTTACAAAACCAAATGGTTTTAAGATGATTGTGCAATGTGCTGAGTAGCTCTTACAATGTTCATAGACTAATTTGGGAAAGGTATGTGTGCACACCCATGACCTTAAGCGCACAGTTCCATTCCTGTGCTTAAAGACAAAATTTCCTAAATTGGTGTCACAATATCTTCAATTCTTGTTGAAAAATTCACAGAATTAAAATGAAAATGTTGATGCAAATGTGACTGTCTTGCTCTTCTTCCAGCACATTTTAGGAAAACACAAACAGCTTTATTGCTACATGTTATGCTAATAAAATATGCATGTTGTTTGGAGGGTGTAGGCTTGTGGTTAGTTTCTATAACAGCAACTGTTTTCTTGGGTTTGTGCAACATAATTTTCTCCGAAGAGTTAGCTAATTTTTTTGCTATCCTTGGTCCTTTTACTGAAGTTATCTAATGTGATGTAAAATTTGGCATGAAGGGAGTAATAATCTATCAACATATTATAAAACTATATCTGAGTATACTCACTTTTTTAATACCAGCAGGGAACTGGATCCCCTCTTCTTTGTTTCCATAACAAAATAAAATCATAGAAACTGATTTTCATTTTTTTAACAACTTAAGAAAAAATGTGTATTAGAAGTCAAGTGTGGGAGTTGCTATGTATTTTAATGATTCATATTCCCAGGATTGTGGCGTTTGTTTTGTTTTGTGGGTTTTTTTTAAATTTTCCTTCATTCATTTTAGTGCATTGAATTTGCTTAAATTCTTACCTACTGCTGTGGTCTAACCCTAGCTGGCAGCTAAGCACCACACTCCCTCCCTCCCTCCCTCCCTCCC